ACATCACATGAGATAAGTTGAATACATCATGATGTGTTTGACATCACATGAGATAAGTTGAATACATCATGATGTGTACAACATCACATGAGATAAGTTGAATACATCATGATGTGTTTGACATCACATGAGATAAGTTGAATACATCATGATGTGTATGACATCACATGAGATAAGTAAACTACAATTAGAAATGAGCTTTCCTGCCCGTTATTGTCTGGTTGTTTGTATTAAATCTGTTTTTTTGTTATTTAATCTGCCCCGAGAGAAGAAAATCCAACATGTCCTCAGTTCTATGTAGGTTTTTAATTTTAGGTTGAAAGTAGGATGGATTTAATGTCCGAGTGATTTATTTAATGTCATCTTTAACACGACTAAATGAATTAGTTTCAAGCTTTGCTTCAAATTTCTAGTCATCTACTGTGTTTTGTGTCAATAACATGTTGGCATGTTTACCATGATGTCTTTCATACCGACTGAATCCATGTACCTTTTTGTGTCATTAGTATTATAATTATTTTACATGATTGTAGTAGAAGGCGTGATTTGAATGAGGCAGCAGAAATATTTCAGCTGAAAGGCCCTGGATGATGGTTTGTGTTGAAAGAACAAAGTGAAGGATACCAGACATGCTACTAGCATTAGCTTACACTGACTGGGCTGACTTCAGTCATTTAGAAATGTTCAAAACAAAACATAACCTTATTTACTTGAATAATCTGAGGTCATTTTAAAAACAAGTTGGAGACAAACAAAGCGAGCCTGTGGTAAACACTCGGGTTAGCATTAGCTGTCGCTAGCCTGTTGAGTCGGTTCGGTTTTATTAGAGCCCAGTTAACAAAACCACGAGTGTTGGACCGAGTGTGGCCCACAAAAGGATACTTGCTGGACGGATCTCTGCGTGGACGTGTCTGGCGACTGAGACTCCTTCAGCAGCTGGAGTATCTGTTGCAGTCCCAGCTCGTCTGGCTTCCACTCACACTCCATCTTTGCTGCCGCGGATAAAGACGAGCAGAAATGAGCACTTCGCATTCAAACACAAACACGTGTTTGATGCAAGACATCTGTACCTACTCTGTTTTGACCGACGTGCTCTCGTGTGGTTGTTTGTTGCTGCTGAAATGTGGGTGTCTGTCTGGCTTTTCTGACACGGATCCACCGAGACGTCGGTTCTCCTGCCAGACGAATCAACGCTCCATGTGAAAGGAGCTGGCGGAGGCTGCCTGTCAGCTGACAGCTCAGCCCCAGGTCCTAGTGCCCAATGGGTTAGGCTAAAACACACTTTATTCACCTTTCAATTCATCCACGGAACTCGTACACTCATGTAATTATTCTTACACACCTTGTCATTTTGGCTTCAATTTATTTTTCACAGAGAGAAAATCTCTTAAATAGAAATTAAACAGTTCAAAATAGGACGTAAATGAAAAAAAAATTAACATTATATGATTGTCGTAGCCTGCAACTGGTAGAGCTGCTGCCTCTCAGCGAGCAGGTCCCTGGTTCAAATCCCGGTCCAGGGGCCTTCTGGGTGGAGTTTGCATGTTCTCTCCGTGCATGCGTGGGTTTTCTCCGTGTACTCCAGTTTCCTCCCACAGACCAAAAACATGCATGTTAGGCTGATTGGTAACTCTAAATTGTCCCTAGGTGTGAGTGAGAGAGTGAATGGTTGTTTGTCTCGTTTGTCTCTATGTGTCCCTGTGATGGACTGGAGACCTGTCCAGGGTGTCCCCCGCCCCTCGTACAGTGATTGCTGGACATGGGCACCAGCGACCCCCGTGACCCGAAATGGAATAAGCGGGTAAAGAAAATGGATGGATGGAAGGATGGATGGATGATTGTCGTAACATTTCCAATGGTACATGAAAGCAACACACGCTTAGACCTTCGTGACACTGCTGCTGTGAAAACAGCGCCCCCTAAGGTTCATATTAATATAACAAAAGGTTATTTAAAATTATTCTAATAACCTTGATTTTAAAACAGTTTCTTTTTTTGGTAAATAACAAATAACATGTTCACTCTGTCTATAAAATCACATCTGAATCTGCAAGGATTTAATGTAAACAAATACAGCAGCTTTACTTGTCTTTAGTTCTTCTAAAAATATATATTTATGTAAAGCATTGCAAACATTTTTGCAGCATTATAACATTACTATGATGCATCCATGCACGGTTGGATAAACATATTCTGTTAGCGACCTACCGTATTGTAACCAGACATGTGTGCACCAGGAGGAGAAAATCATAAAAACATATTTTTAATTTGTGCCTTTTTTCTTACTTGTTATGTTATGTTGTTTAATATTTGTCATATGCAGGTTAACACAGGGTCAACAGTGCAATTAAATGTTCAGGATAAGAAGAATCAATATTTTTCTCCCTTGTCCTGTGCAGCATTGTGACACTTAGAATTATTGTCTGAGTGTCAAAGTGATGCCCAACAGATTTACTTTTACAAGCAGAGCATGATGGCTGGCCTTAATGCTCCACTTGATATGAAAATTAAATTTTATTAGAATTTGCTATGGGCTTGTTTCAGATGTAATGGACATGGGGATGAAAAACAAAGAAGATAAAGTAGAAAAGTGAGAGAGGGGTTTAAAGGTAAAGAAGGAGACAGGAATAGAGGAGAGAGAGAGAGGGATAAAGAGAACACAAATCAACATCATTGAAGTCTGACTCTAGACCTGCGGAAAGAAAAAAAAGACAAAACAGAGAAACCACAGCAACAAACAACATATACAATTGTAGTGAACTAAGCCTCCGGTCAAAACCTGCCTCTGAAGACCTTCATGGGACAAGAACTGTTATTTCATTGATTTGAATCCAGAAATACAACTTAGCTCATCCAGAGACTTTCTAATTGTATCATGAACTAATCAATTGAAAGAACACTCTCTTTTTTATATTATCATTAATATTTTACAATGTCTTGATAATCAAAAGTGTGTTTAGTTCAAATCATTTTAAATGTTGAAATGAACCACTCATTTTAAATCAACTGTGAAACAGTATTAATGATTTTTTTTAATCCTCATTCAAAGTAGAAATCAAGTTAAAATGTCTGTTACAAAGTAATTATGCATTTTTTGATCTTCTGTCTGAAATGAGAAGGAGTGATGTTGGTCAAAAGTCGGAGACAGTCGCAAACAAGTTTATTGGAACGAACTGTCATGTTTTTAAACCTCTCAGACAGAAACAAGAAAAGCTGGCACCTGTGGGTCTGTCATTTCTCCAAAACATTTCTATGTCTTGTTGTGTTTTATCTTATTTTCCACCCGAGTCTTGTAGTTACCGCT